CCATGGGCCGAGTGAGATTCGAACTCAGGTCTTCCAAGTCTGACACTCGCTACGCTGCCTCCGCCGGACATTCCACAAGTATTTAACCCGAAATAACTAAAGGGGGGAAATTAAGGCACACTTAAATGTGATTTAAGCATTCTGTTATGTAGAGGTGTCGCCTGGAATACTGTATTTGGAAACATTTAAAAGACAACAGCAGGTCCTTCCTTTTCTTAGAATCACAGAATTTGAGTTCGAAGGGACACCGAGGGTCATCTAGTTCAACCCCCCGAAATGCCGGAATCTTTTGCCCAATGTAGGATTCAAACCCACAACCCCGAGATTAAGAGTCTCAGACTTTTATCGAATGTACTGAAAACTGAATAAATTCCAACAACCCAAATCACTGCCTGCGATCTCCCGATTCACACACTCTCGGAGGGGACAATCACCTGTGAAAACATTAATTACGATTTTGAAACTGTCAAGCTTTCTAATTACTGGCTTGCGTTCAATGTTCGCCCTACTCGAAATAAACTCGTTTATTTTGTGAATGGACACGGAAAACCTGGGCCCATCCATTTCCAAGGGGTCTACCCTAAGTAAAGCTTGGTTTGATACAATTCCCTGTGTGGTACCCAGCGAAAAAGTTCCATTTGTGCAAGGAAACTCCCCTTTCTCTCATCTCCTTTCCATGTGAACCCCTAAATCTATTCTAGGGTTCACCCAGCCCTTCAGAGCAGATTTTGGAAGGGGTGTATAAGGAGTAGCTAGGTGGGGGAGAAAGTTAATAATAATGATGATGATTGATGACGATGATGATGAATGATGATAATGTATTATTTATACCCCGCCCATCTGGCTAGGTTTCCCCAGCCACTCTGGGCAGCTTCCAACAAAACACTAAAATACAATAACCTATTAAACATTAAAAGCTTCCCTAAACAGGGCTGCCTTCAGATGTCTTCTAAAAGTTTGGTAGTTATTTTTCTCTTTGACATCTGGTGGGAGGGCGTTCCACAGGGCGGGCGCCACCACCGAGAAGGCCCTCTGCCTGGTTGCCTGTAACTTGGCTTCTCGCAGTGAGGGAACCGCCAGAAGGCCCTCGGAGCTGGACCTCAGTGTCCGGGCTGAACGACGGGGGTGGAGACGCTCCTTCAGGTATACAGGACTGAGGCCGTTTAGGGCTTTAAAGGTCAGCACCAACACTGACCTTAAACACTGATGGTCCTTAAATGGGTTGATGGTTCAAAACATCTCAGGGCACCAGGTTGGCAAAACCTGCAGTAAATCATCAACCCCTGCAGGGAAAGGTCGCAACGTGGAGTGTTTCACATTCCTGGTCCCCGCCAGCCACTCCCTTTCCTAAGGCACTCCATTCCATTGCCCTCTCTCCAGTTTCCCAGCCCTGCCGATTCCCCCTCTTCATTCCATGGTCACTGAGAACGTGCAGGCTGCATACGTACCCTATATTAAAAGCACACAGCTTCCTGAAAATAATGCTGAGAAATGTAGTTTGTCAAGGGTGCCAGGAGTTGTAGGACTGCGCGCGGTAAACTACAGCTCCCGGGCTTTTCCGAGGGAAGCCACGTGTATTAAATGTGCTGCAAACATATAGCGAATCCAGACAAGATAGAAGTACTGTTTTGGGGGACAGGAGGCGGGCAGGTGCGGAAGACTCCCTGGTCCTGAATGGGGTAACTGTGCCCCTGAAGGACCAGGTGCGCAGCCTGGGAGTCATTCTGGACTCGCAGCTGTCCATGGAGGTGGAGGTCAATTCTATGTCCAGGGCAGCTGTCTACCAGCTCCATCTGGTACGCAGGATGAGACCCTACCTACCCACAGACTGTCTCGCCACAGTGGTGCATGCTCTGGTTATCTCCCGCTTGGACTACTGCAATGCGCTCTACGTGGGGCTACCTTTGAAGGTGACCCGGAAAATACAACTAATCCAGAATGCGGCAGCCAGACTGGGGACTGGGAGCGGCTGCCGAGACCACATAACACCGGTCCTGAAAGACCTACACTGGCTCCCAGTACGTTTCCGAGCACAATTCAAAGTGTTGGTGCTGACCTTTAAAGCCCTAAACGGCCTCGGCCCAGTATACCTGAAGGAACGTCTCCACCCCCATCGTTCTGCCCGGACATTGAGGTCCAGCGCTGAGTGCCTTCTGGCGGTTCCCTCACCGCGAGAAGCCAAGTTACAGGCAACCAGGCAGAGGGCCTTCTCGGTGGTGGCACCTGCCCTGTGGAACGCCCTCCCACCAGATGTCAAACTACCAAACTTTTAGAAGACATCTGGAGGCAGCCCTGTTTAGGGAAACTTTCAATGTTTAACAGGTTATTGTATTTTAGCGTTCTGTTGGAAGCCACCCAGACTGGGCAGGGTATAAATAATTTTATTTATTTATTTTATTATTATTATTATTATTATTATTATTATTATTATTATTAATATTAAAAGTGTTGGAAGCCGCCCAGAGTGGCTGGGGAAACTCAGCCAGATGGGTGGGGTATAAATAAATTATTATTATTATTATTATTATTATTATTATTGTTGTTGTTGTTGAGCAGAGTAGGCAAGAGCAGGATATGCTTTTCCAATTAAAGAATAATTTCTTAATTTGCGACCTGCACAAATTAACGTGCAAGGGACCCCTCCCTGGCCCTCGGGAGGAGAGATGCTTTGCAGGCTGACACACACAAGAAGCAGGATTTCCGAGGGAGGTCATGCCTTTGCTCGGAGCCGCCTCCCATGCAAACTTCTCCAGGCTATTGTGTCTTTAATTTATTTATTTAAGAGCAGAAACAAACAAAAAACCCAGCCCAAGGATCCGGACAACACACACACACACACACACACACACACACGTACACGTGTCTCTGGAGTGGGCACATGCAAACATTCGAGAGGCGCCCCCCCCCACTCTTTTTTTAAATGGAGAAAAGAAAAAGCAGTTCAGGAACAAAAGCCCGTCCAAAAAAAACCAGCCAAAAAACCACACACACACACACACACACACACACAGAGCAAAGGGACCCAGGAAGTAGACTAGCTATTCGACTCTCCCACGCCGCAATTCCCTAAGGGCCTGCTTCAGGTTTGGGGTTTTTTTTGGGGGGTGTTAATTGGTGAGGGAAATGGGGGGGGAGAAACTCGCAAAAAACGAACCTTTGCTTCTCCTTGCCCTTGCAAAAGGAACAATGGTTTTTGCACAGAGTGAATCGCCGAGATTCCGTCCCCAAGGAAAGTGTGTGTGTGTGTGGGGGGGGGGTGACCTGACGGCCATCCAATCCAAACCGCCCCCCCCTCCGCGCATCGCACACTTGCTCCGCGGTTCCCCAAGTCCACCACACACAGGTCACAATAGAAAGCGCACCTTCCTGCTCTCCGACTGGCACCCGCAGGGGGTTGCAAAAATTTGCAATTCTATTTTGCATCAGACGGCGAAGGGGATGGATAGGCAAAGGAGAGCCCGGCGCCTGGTGTTTTCTCTCCCCCCCCCCCAGCAAATGCTCCCTTTTAGGGATTTTTTTTTCCTGGCAGCTACAGATACCCACCCCCCACCCCAAAATAGGAACCCACCGCCCAAGAAGGGGGAAGCAAAGGAATTAAGATTTCTTTGGTGCTTTAAAGACATTGCGCCGGGAGAATTGGCGAGGAGGAATAGAAAGCGCAGGGATTTCAGGTAATTGTGGGAGAGTTGGGGGAGTATCCCCATGAAACTGCATTGGAGATGGATGGGATTATATTATCTGCAAATTAAAGGTCCACCCAGAGTTTCCCACTGGAAAAAAAATCGCCTCTCCCAGGCATGGAGATGTCCCAGGTGAAAGAAAGAAACTGGGGGGTTAACAGGTGCAAAGGGGGATGGATTGGGTCCAAAGTCACTCACACCAGGAAGTTTTTTTTGGGGGGGTGAATCAGCAGGGGGTCAGAAAATGGACACTGTCCCTCCAATAAACTTAAGGCAGAAAGTTTGTACCTTCTCAAGAGTAGGCCTACTGAAGTTAAAGGGACACGATGACTAACTTCGTAGGGCTTAAGAGGAGTCATGGATCCTGAACCGCAACACCAAAGGGAACTTTCCAAGGAGCATATAATATTTGGGGGGGGGGATGGACAGGTGGAACAAAAAAAGGGGTGACAGGTGGAACAAGGTAAGGAAACATTATGGACTGCAGGTAACCCAAGTAGAGTGCAGGAGACTTGGAGCGAGACTTGGAAGTGGTACAGGAGGTGCCGGGTTCAAATTCTGAGCATCTCCAAGCCAGAGGATTGGTGGTGGTGGTTTTTTTTAAAAACCGCAGGTAACAGGTGTTGTGGTCTGACTTCAGTGTTTTGAAAGGGGGGGGTAGAGAAAGAGAAAGATGTTCGCTCCAAGGAAGCCATGGTTTTGGGAGCTTGCCAAGACAAAAGTAAAAATTGGAGCCGATTTGTGGGGTGCCGCAGGTGCCCCCCAAAAGGTGGGAAGGAGAAGCAGAGGTCGGTGGGGAGCAAACTGATGGGGTGGGGGTGGGGTGGAAGGAACGGAAGATTCTCTTCTCCGCAGAACCGATAACAAAAGGAAAGAGCAGGTAAATCGAGGGTGAAAGAGAGTTCTCGATTCACCTGGATTCTCCTTTGGAGCGGACAGGTGCGAGGGAGCAAACAACTTAAGAGCAAGCAGGTACCCTCTCCCTTCCCCCCCACCCCCCGGGTATTTTCCGAAAGAAAGAGGCAACCGGTACCCCCAGAGATGGGAAGGAAATAAACAATAGGGGTGCAACACACGCACCCCAAATAAACGCAAAACAAGGAACAAAAGGATTAAATTCGGAGGAGAGGCAAGGTTTTAACAAGCAACAGACGTGGGGGGGGTCAGGTACCCCAAAAACCAGAGGTCCTTTTTATTCCCGGGGAGACGGCGCAGGTGTTTCCAAAGGCGAAGGAGACAGACCCCCTAAAAAAAGAGGGGCGCAGCCTCATCCCCCCCCAAATAGGGGCGCAAGCGCGCGCGCAAAGGGGAAGCGCCTACCTTGGCAAAATAGAGCATCCACAGCTCGTAGAGGCGCTCCTTGGAAGCCATGGTGCGGGGCGGTTGCGCCTCCCCGTCCCTCCGTTCCCGGCTCACGCGGCGGCCAGATCCATGGCGCGGTGGCGGCGGCGCCTTTTCCCCCGGGCGAGCGTAAGGGCAACTTTACGCGCGGCGCCGCGGCGCTGCCTTTCACTCCAAGCGGCGCGCAAAGCTCCCCCGGGCGCCGCGCTCCGCTCCCTCCGCCATGCTGGTGGCGACGGCCGCTGCCAGCCCTCGGGCTCCGGCTCCGGCTCCTCCTCCTCTCCCAGCACCTGATTCGCGGCCCGGCCCCGGCCCCGAGGGAGGAGAGACGCCGCCGCCTCGCCGACAACGCCGCCGCCGCCGCCGCTGCTCCTCCAGGTGTGCGCCACGGCGCGCAGCCTCGCCTGGGGGCGCACGGACTCCTCGCCTTTGGGGTGGGGTGGGGGCCCCGATTCGGCGAGGCGCTTTACTTCAGAGTAGTCCCGTGGCCGCCAGCTGCGGAAGCGGGGAAATGCCTCCCCGTTCTGGGCCTGATCCTGAGCTTCACGCAGGGAGAACTGCCTCGCTTTACTCGCGAGGAGTCCCCGCAGCCTGCGGCGTTGCTTGCAGTTAGGGCTCAAATGCCCGTTTCCCCCCGCCCGGTCTTCTTTTACGGCGAGTTCAAAGGAGGGGCTTTACTCCCGAGTAGCTTCAAGGATTGTTGCTATTTATTAAATTAGCCTCTCGAGCTCCTGGGATCGCGACCCCAACGACTGCCACTTTCTTTTCCTTTTCTTTCCAGCCGCTCAAGGCTTTGCCTTCTGCCGGACAGGTCTTACTCGGGAGTAAGGCCCGCTGAGCTCCATGGAACTTACTCCCGGGTAAGTGCGCCTTGGCTTTTTTTTTAATGTTGGCTTTTATTTATTGAATTGAATTTCTACACCGCCCTTCATCCGAGGGTCACAAGGCGGTTTACAGTAGAAAAACGCAAGAAACACGTAACTTTCTTGCGGGAGGGGTTTCTCACGTTAGTGGCGATGCGGGTCTAGACTTGGAAACGAAACCTCTACGCGCACAAGTTTAATGGGACTCCTCCCTCCCGCTGAACAAGTGTGCAAGTTGCGACCCCTCTTCGCGCGCTGACTCGGGGCCGGATCCTTCCTTAAACAGGAGTAAACGCGTTGCAGGACTGCAGTGATAACAAGACTGTCCGGGAATCCTTAGCTGAGATTTCTGCATTGCAGGGGGTTAGACTAGATGACCCCGGGTAGTCCCAACTATGACTTGACGCTCTCTAGGGCTGCAGTGCAGTCGGAAAATAGCCCAATTGCAGTTACAGCTAAGACAGACCACACCTCCTAAGTGTGTGTGTGATCAGGATCAGTCCAGTGTGCCCTTGTAATACTGGGAACATACAAAAATACCAGCTTTTCCTTCTTTTTTAAAGTAATTTTTATCAGTTTTCCATTTAATAATATACAATCATATCACTGTTATCCACTTTACCTCTCTGGCTCTTTGGAGTCCATCCACTTCCTTCCTTCCCTCCCGCCTCATGGCTTTCAAAATCATCCTTTATATCATTTCATTTTATATACTTTTCCCAATTCTAGATTCACTCATTACAAAAAGGCATTAAAATTTGGGTTAAAATAAAAAGGGAGAGAGCTTCTCGTTACGAGTTTTCAGGCAACCCTGCTAGTGATGTTAATCGCTTGCAGTAATCTTTCAAATATTGTATAAATTTACTCCGGTCCTTTTGGAATACTTGATCACGCTGGTTTCAGATTTTTCCCGTCAGCTTCGCCAGTTCCGCAAAATCCATCATTTTCATCTGCCACTCCTCTTATTGGTATGCTGTTGAGCTAAAGATTCTTGCCGCTGTTGTAATTGAAAGTCTTATCTTCTTTTGTTTCTCTCACCTACTATTAAGGGACGCGGGTGGCGCTGCGGTAAAACCTCGCGCCTAGGACTTGCGATCCATGTCGTGTTCGATCCCCCAGCGGGTGCACTCCGCTGCTGTCCAGCGCCCAAATAGCAGTGGAAGCACCCCGGTCAGTTAATAGGACCGCTTAACGCGAGGTAAACAGTGTTCCGGTTTTTGCTCCCGATGCGTTGTCACGCTGCCACTGACCGAAGTGTCTCCGAAGCACTGGCCCGCTATAGAGTGAGATGAGGACAACCTAGAGCTGTCAAACTGGCCTACGGCAGACTATTCCCAGTAAAAAGGCTTCTTGTTTTTGAACCTTTTCTTTAACTCATTATATATCGTTTCCCAGAAAGCCTTTACCTCTTTACAGGTCCACTGCATATGGTAAAATATACCTTCCCTTTCTTTTGCATTTCCAACACTTGCTCGCTCTTGCCTTATACATTTTAGCAAGTTTTGATGGTGTTAAATACCATCTATACATCATTTTCATCACATTTTCGTTAAGTGCACTTCATGCAGTAAAGCTAATACCTTCATCCCACAGTCTTTCCAAAGATCTATCCAGCTATTAGCTTTCAAGAATTTTTATAGTAGAAGCAAGTGAAAGTAATTCCTTTCTGACTTTAGTATGCTGCAGGCAGCCTACCAAACCTATTGAGTATATTTAGGATTGTGGTGTGTGATGTTTGGGTTAACTTAAGGACAGATGCCTTATACCATGGGTAGGCAAACTAAGGCCCGGGGGAGATCCGGCCCAATCGCCTTCTCAATCCAGCCCGTGGACGATCCTGGAATCAGCGTGTTTTACATGAATAGAATGTGTCCTTTTATTTAAAATGCATCTCTGGGTTATTTGTGGGGCATAGGAATTCATTCATTTCCCCCCAAAAATATAGTCCCCCCCCCCAAGGTCTGAGGGACAGTGGACCGGCCCCCTGCTGAAAAAGTTTGCTGACCCCTGCTTTATACACTGTATTCTTAACTCTAACTTCCTCCAGCACCACTTAGAAGTTAGCCCAGCTGAGTTCCAGGAAGCTATTTGGCCTATTAAGACCTATTGAGGTCAACAGGACTTTCAAATAATTCTGCATAGGATTCCAGCCTTTGCTAAGGGTTTGGCATCAACCAGTTGTTTTTTTTAAATGGGGTTTTTTGGTATTCTGTTTTATAAAAGTTAAGAACTATAAGAAGAAATCAAACAAAGCATTAGCCAGTGTTCGATACTTAAAACACTAAAATAATGAATAGGTTAATTAATTGGTTAAAGGGAAATGTTTTTAATTGTGTAACACCACCGACCACCTTAACATCTACTGCAATCTGTGCAAAGTTACTCAAAAGTAAGTCCGTGTTTAATGGGGCTTACTCCCAGGTAACCCAGCTTTCAAAGTGGCTGGAAACTCATAAGTAGTACTATATAAAAATAGGCAAGGAAGCAAGTTTGTATGGAAGATTCTTGATTTCTGGTTTAACTGATCAAGCCCTTATCAGTTCCACACCCTGTCAGAAATCCTTGCTGGAATCTGCAAAATATTTTTACCCTCTTGATGCATTTATAACCAAGCAAGGACTAAACTGGATTAATGGTGAATGTAAGACTAAATCATTTTTATCAGTGCTTTTATTCTGCGTTCCCAATCATATTCCCAGGAGTGGTTTGCAAGATTTTATTATTTTTAAAAAAATATTTTTTGTTTGAGTTTACAAGTATAGAGTTATAACAATACCAAATAAATATCAACATTTAGAGATTTCTCTGAATCTCTAGACTTCCCGCCATCCCCTCCTTGGGATTTATTGTCAACATTTTCAGATGCATATTATTTCATAATCCATATTTTAAATCTGTCCATATTGTCCATAGTATTTGTTACATTACAAGTGTTATTAAAATCCTGCTAATGTTTTCATCTGCTTACAGTGGTTTCCTAAATAAATTGTAGTTTCCCCCCCATTTTTTCTTAAAATTCTTGTCTTCTTAGAGCTTTCCGGTCAGTTTGCCATTTCAGCGTAGTCCGACAGCTTGGTTTGTCATTTCTAGGAACTTTATCTTCTTTCCATCTCTGGGCTACTAGCATCCGCGCGGCTGTTGTTGCATACATAAAAAGTTTTTTCCGATCCTTTGGAATATCCAGTTCCTAATGAAAATGCTCCTGGTTTTTTGATAAAAGATATTTTAAACATTTTTTTCATTTCATGATATATCATTTCCCAGAATGCTTTTATGACTTTGCACGACCACCACATATGATAAAAAGTACCTTCTTTTTCTTAACATTTCCAGCAGGTATTTGGACTTTACTCATACATTTTTGCTAACGTAAAGGTAAAGGGACCCCTGACCATTAGGTCCAGTCGTGGCCGACTCTGGGGTTGTGCGCTCATCTCGCTTTACTGGCCGAGGGAGCCGGCGTACAGCTTCCGGGTCATATGGCCAGCATGACTAAGCCGCTTCTGGCGAACCAGAGCAGTGCACGGAAATGCCGTTTACCTTCCCACCAGAGCGGTACCTATTTATCTACTTGCACTTTGACATGCTTTCAAGCTGCTAGGTTGGCAGGAGCAGGGACCGAGCAACAGGAGCTCACCCCGTCATTGGGATTCGAACCACCGACCTTCTGATCAGCAAGTCCTATGGTCTGTGGTTTAACCCACAGCGCCACCCTCTGTGTATATTGGGAGCACCCATTGAAAAAGCCTGCAAACACCCTCTAAACCAGTGATGGCCAAACTTGGCCCTCCACCTGTTTTGGGACTACAATTCCCATCACCCCTGACCACTGGTCCTGTTAGCCAAGTTTGGGCATCTAAACCATGGGTAGGCAAACTAAGGCCCGGGGGCCGGATGCGGCCCAATCACCTCAGTCCAGCCCACGGATGGTCCAGGAATCGGCATGTTTACATGAGTAGAATGTGTCCTTTTATTTAAAACACATCTCTGGGTTATTTGTGGGGCCTGCCTGGTGTTTTAACATGAGTAGAATGTGTGCTTTTATTTAAAAGGCATCTCTGGGTTATTTGTGGGGCATAGGAATTCGTTCATTATTAATTTTTTCAAAATATAGTCTGTTCCCCCACAAGGTCTGAGGGACGGTGGGCCAGCCCAAAAGGTTTGCTGACCCCTGCTCTAAACCTCCGAAAACCCTAGAAAAAACCCTCTTAAAAACAAGCAGTGCTTGCCCTGGTGGTGGGAATGGTGGCAAATCAACCAAGCGACCACAATTTCTCCCTCCAGGCTACCTTGCTCAAATGCACGCGCTCCGTAGACCTCGACGGTTTGTGCAAGGGCTCTTGTGAAAACACTTGCAAAGGCTTGTGGGATTGCTAGGCACTTTTCACCCCATTTTGCCATTTCTGCGCTCTTTCCTAGGGCTGTTTTTGCCCTCT